CTCCCTTTGGCGTAAGGCTTACATCATTCCTCTTCCTAAAAAAAATAACCCTTCACTTCCTGAACACTTTCAACCCATTTCCATTCTTCCCTTTCTATCAAAAGTGCTCGAGGCCTGTGTTTACAAGCAGCTCTCAGAATTCGTATACAGACACAAACTATTAAGTCCTCTACAGTCTGGCTTTAGGCCTGGTCACAGCACTATTACCGCCCTCCTTAAAGTGACTGGTGATATCCGAAAGGGCATGGAAGACACCAAAGTTACAGTTCTGGTCTTAGTTAATTTCTCCAATGCGTTCAATACAGTCAGTCACGAAATCCTACTATAAATCCTTACATATCTTAAGATTTCCCCAGAAGCACTGGAATGGTTCTCCACTTATCTTCAAGGACGCCAGCAGTGTGTTCGTATTCAGGACTCGTCATCGGGTTGGTGCGACCTCAGTGCTGGTGTCCCCCAAGGCGGAATTTTATCTCCTCTTTTATTTTCTATATTTATCAAATCCTGGTCGACGAGATTCGGATTGTCAGTGAACCCCACCAAATGCCAGGCAATCATAATAGGTAGCAAAATTATGATAAGTCGATTAGATACAGCTTTAATCCCACCGGCCGTCTTCAACGGCTCAGTTATACCGTGGAGTCCAGTAGTCAAGGACCTAGGCCTGTTCATCGACTCAACCCTTGACTGGCGTTCTCAGGTTACTCATGTGAGTCAGAAAGCAACCGGAAACCTGCGAACGTTACACCGTCTTAGGAATTTCCTGCCACCTAAAACGAAAACCTCACTCATGCAGTCCCCAATTATCCCTTTAATTGATTATGGCGATGTGTGTTACTTCGACCTGAATGCAGACCTCCTTAACAAGCTAGACCGTCTTCTCAATAACTGCATTCGATATATATTTAATCTTCGAAAGTTTGACCACGTCTCTGCTTTTCGTTCCCAATTGCAATGGTTGCCCGTTCGCCTGCGCCGTAATCAGCGTGCGCTGACCAGATTTCTACACCCCCCAAAGGTTAGCTGGTAGAGAATGCCTTGGGCATTAAGCCCGCCGTTGTACATAAGTGCATAAAGTTGTAAATAAATAATAAATAAAATAATAGATATGGTTAAGTTTTCGCGAAAATCGAAATTCGCCCATATCTTTTTATCGTGTTGACTCAGGACCTTGATTTTTATACACCTAATAGGGACCATAGACCTCAGTATCTGGTATAAATTTCAACTTGCTAGGTCTACCTGTTCCTGAGAAAATCGGTGGTGAGACACGGACAGACAGACAGACGGACAGACGAACAGACGGACAAGAAGGGTTCCTTTTTTTACCTTTTGAGGTACGGAACCCTAAAAACTTAAAAAAACTGCAAGTAACAGTCGAGTAACAGGTGTCTATGGGCGGTAGGTGACCCGTTTGCCCAAATTGGGGGTGACTGGGGGTCATCCAAAAGGTCAGCGGTCTAGGCCTACTGGTAGCATCTCATAAGGTTACATAGAAAATGCGAAGGTGTAGTTCTTTCATGTTCGCTCATTAGAGTTTGGGGAGCAGAGGTCAAGGTCGACCGGCATATCAAGTACCTTACCCTGCAATTGTGAGACCGTGGTTGGACCTTCGAGGAGTATTTCGAAAAAAAAAGGGCCCCTAAGTAGTATTAGTCAAGGGCCTCACAAGTTCACGATCCGCCCTCACCATTGTGATAGAGACTGTAAACAAAAAATAAAGTCACCTCAAGTGATGGCAATGCAATTTCTGGCAATGGTGGTGCAGCTTCTCGGCAAGTATGTAGCACTGAATTACCACTCATCGCTACTTTTCCGTATGTAGTGATATGTTGACCAGCATTACGAGATTTTCCACTTAGAATTCCAAAAAGTCTCGAACCTATGCCTCCATATAACACAAGCAGACATTCGCCAGTGTTTGTTAAGAATATTACATCTTTAATAATGAAATTCCTTATTGTGGTAAAAACCCATCCTTCAGGTGCGAAGGCCGTGACTTTCTTTTGATTACTAGTTGGTTCTTAGATTGAATTTCGTTTCAAGGGTTTTAATAATAATAATAATTTATTATCAAAACAGCCCAATACATTTTGTCCATCTCATCCATAATAAAACACGCTTCGGGGTTTTCAATAGAGATTAACAAGCTTCCCTACCAATTGCCACTAGATGGCGCTAGCATACACTGTTCTACTATTTATGTTACCATATCAACACCTCCGCTTAACAAAAATAATACAGAGTAGGTACTTTGGAATTTATATGAAATAGGTACAATACCAAGCTTTTTCATAAAATAGTAGTGTTTGGCAGACCCCTAAACCTTTGGTCAAAATATGTGCTGACATTTCAGCTGTTTCCAAATAAGATATCTTAATAAAATTATTATTTAATGCCTCTCTGATGAAATGATATCTTATGTCTATGTGTTTGGACCTGCGATAAAAAACTGTATTGGAAATTAATCTCTGCGCACTCTGACTATCATTAAAAATAACAATTGGTTCTGAACTACCAACAATATCACTTAGTAATTTTTTTAAATACATTGCCTCTTTACTAGCTTCTGACATAGAAATGTACTCAGCTTCTGTTGAAGATAAAGCTACATGTCTTTGTTTCCTACATTCAAAAGAAATCACTGTATTTGACAGTTTAAAGCAGAATCCAGAAAAAGACTTTCTATCATTTACATCTGAACCCCAGTCTGCATCTACAAAACCTTCAATATGAGAATTATCTTTACAAAACACAAGTCCATAGCTCTTAGTTTTCTTTAAATACCTTACTACAATTTTAGCATGCTTCCAGTGAACCTTATCATAAGAATTATTAAACTGGCTAAGAAAAGTTACACTCTAAGCTATATCTGGCCTAGTTAGGACGGCTAAAAACTGCCTATTTACTCTCTAAATGGATAATCTTTACTAACATTTAAGGACGTCTCTAACTTTAAATTTGTCTCCATAGGAGTTTCTGCTGTTTTGCAATGTAACATGTTAAATCTTTTAAGTAAATTATCAACATATTGTGATTGATCAACTGTTATTACACTTTCATTGATATTAACTCTTAAGCCTAAACATTGTTTCAATTGACCTAAGTTTTAGATCTTAAATTTACAACTTAGTTCATACATTAGTTGATCAGTGGATGTCACACTATTGGAAAACACAAAAATATCATAAACAAATAGTGCTACTATAACTTTGACTTTTCCTTCAAATTTAGAAAACAAACATGGTTCATACTTTGACTTTTTATAACCCAAATTTAACAAGTAATCATTAACTTTCTGATACCAAGCCCTGGAAGACTGTTTGAAACCATAAATGGCACGCTTTAATTTTAACACTTTGTTATCATCATCAGTACAGGTTTTATAAGTAACAGGTTTTTTCATATACACTGTTTCTTTCAAAAAACTATTTTAAAAACAGTGGTGACATCTAATGACTTATGTCTAAGTTTAACTAAGCGGCCAGAGCAAAAAGTAATCTTAAGGTGTAATATCTTATATCTGGCGAAAATGTTTCATGAAAATCTACACCAGCTTTCTGACTAAACCCTTTTGCAACTAATCTTGCCCGGTAACGCACATTATTAGAACTGTCAAATTTATTCTTAAAAATCCACTTACACTGCACTACTGTACAATCTTGAGGATGATCAACAAGCTCAAATGCATCATTCTCATCAAACGAATCTAACTCTTCCTTCATACTTACTCTCAGGTCCATTTAAAGCTTCCTCTTTCCGGGCCCAGATGAGGTACCTGGGTCTAGTCCTGGACGGTAGGTGGCTCTTCGACGAGCACTTCCGACAGCTTGGTTCAAAGTTGGTGGACACTGCCTCCGCCCTAGGGCGACTTTTGCCCAATTTGGGCGGTGCCTGTGTTCCCACGAGGCGGCTGTACGCGGGGGTTGTCAGGTCCGTGGCGCTGTATGGTGCACCGGTGTGGGTGGCGGCTCTGACCGCCCCAAATAGGGCACGCCTCTAGCGCCCCCAGAGGATATTGGCGGTCAGAGTCATACGAGGATACCGCACGGTGTCCACCGAGGCGTCTTGCGCATTAGCCGGAACACCCCCGTGGGATTTGGAGGCGGAAGTGCTCGCCGAAGTCTATCGACGAGTGGCTGACTTCCGGTCGGAGGGCGGATTTTGCCCTCCGCCCGAAGACGTACGCGAGTGGCGCGAAGCCGCTCGCCGAGCCACTATGGTCAGATGGTCGTTCCGGCTGGAGACTCCACGCGCTGGCTTCGCCGCCGTGGAGGCTCTCCAGCCGGTCATCGCCGGCAGTACGGGACCCTTTCCTTCCGGCTGACGCAGGTGCTTTCCAGGCACGGTTGCTTCGGAAAGTACCTGCACTCGGTCGCTAGGAGGGAATTGAGTCCCGCCTGCCACCACTGCGACTGCAGTGAGAACTCGGCCCAGCACACGCTGGCGGTCTGCCCCGCATGGGTGACGCAGCGCCGGGCCCTCACTGCAGTCATCGGAGTGAATCTCTCGCCACCGGCCGTAATTCGCTCCATGGCCGGTAGCGACAGTTGTTTTACCGCGGTCGCAACCTTCTGCGACTAAGTAATCTCGCAGAAGGAGGCGGCGGAGAAGGCCCGGGAGGACGACCTCCACTCGGACCCGATCCGCCGCCGGCGAACCGGGCAGCGGAGGCGCGCTCACCTTCGCCTCATGCCACCCTGAGTGTGGCCGCGGGTGGACGGGATGGGATTTCCCCTCCACCCGCATTAGTTTGGCCAGCCGCGAGGGGGTGGCGTCCGCGTGTGCCGGACGTCGCCTAAAGAGAGGAAAATTGAGACGGAGCCCGCAGCAGGAGAGGGCCGGCGCTGGGAGGGGTCCAGAAGGCGATAACTACCTGGACCCCCCCAAAATAGAAGCGCAAAGGCACACCGTGTGGTTTTAGTCGGTTCGAGTCCGACACACCGCCCCGCCGAACAGAGAACCCCGGCGGGGTGACGGTCCGAGGGGATTTCCACACGTTAAAAAAAAAAAAGGTTTATCTCTTTATCATCATTACACTGTGTAATACACATATTATTGTAACAAAATCTGTCAGGTTTCCTTCTAACTCGTTTTGATTGAGTGTCTGAAGTTCCTGGCACCTCCAGAGTAATATCTGGATCTGAAGTGGCATTAGAAAAATCTTCATCTGAAGTAGTACTCACTAAAGTAGTATCCTTCACATATGTACTGTCCAAGTTTTCTTTTTGTGTATCTAACCTTTCTGAGTCTGAAGTTTCACTGTCAGTATTCTCGGAATTATTGGTGCATCCTTCCTCCGCTGAAAACTTACATTCCACTAACATCTCCACTGAACTCTTTACAGGCTCCAGAACAACTTCATCTCTACTTGTACTAATAGAATTGGTTTTAGGGTAATAAACCCTATAGCCCTTTACATTTTCAGAATAGCCCACAAAAATAAGCTTACTCGCCTTTTTGTCCCATTTCAAACGTTTCTCCTTGGGCACATACACCATGACTGGACTGCCAAATATACGTAAATGACTTACATTCGGTTTAAACCCTGTCCAGACTTCATAAGGTGTCCTGTTATCCAGTCCTGTAACGACAGATCTATTTCTTAAGTATACCGAAGTATTAACCGCTTAAGCCCAGAATTTTTATCTAGCCCAGTCCAGTGCACGATGCGTCCCTTTGGCTGCAAATGCACTTTCCGAACTTCAGGTTCGAAAAGTGCACAAATCATAAGTTGTCGTGGCTTGCTTTATGTGAGCATAAAGGGAACAATCGATGGTTAATATAAGCTTGGCCTTCGCTTTGGCGTCTTCTACATTTTCTGCTGTAGTTGCTGCTGCTGGTAATTTTTGTTCAATTGATGACGCCATGTTTTCTAACACCAAAAGATTTCTTGCCGCGAAGCACCAATCCCCATAATTTTCACGACCTCGCAACTTAGGTACGTTAGCTATATAGTTCGCCGTCATTATTATTGCACAAAAACAGTACTTAACACTTTATTAATTGTAAAGAACAATGGCAGAAACATATTTACCTAAAAGTCAAGCGTTTAAAAAATGACTCACAGTAAACTTAATAAATATTTTTCCTATGATTTATCATTACACCACCATGTGTTGTATAAGTCTTATAAGAGATCGGATATTTTTGAAGATTTTATTTGACTAAGTACGTAATGTCAGATTCGACAACACGTATAACTGACTAGGGATGCGTGGTGGCAATATTATATTGTGAAACGTTTTATCGATAATCGATTTTTATAGCTTTGGCTGAAATATCTACCAAAGGTTCACCTTTTATGATTCTGAATTTGCTTCTGCCCACGGGTTCACTCGCACGGTAGAGTGACTAAATCAACATAATTAGAAATAATTTAGAATATTTTTTACTTTTACTTTTTAAACGATTTTTGCTAGACTAAATTAATAGAATATAGTTACGCTATTTTAACAATGTTTGCAGTATAACAATATACTGCACAGTGTGATGAGAAAAAAACATTGTCGTTAAAAACAGCTCATAAATAGACATACATCGATATTTTCAAAATGTCGATACGTCGCCGTTTGGATCCTGTCGAGTGCCGCACTCACCAGTCTAGTCGTTTGACACAATTGACACTCACACGCATGACTTCATGACCAAGCAATGACACGGCAATTCTTTGTTTTTTCTTTATTATTTTTCAATGTAGTGTTAAACTCGCATATACATATGTTATGTTTTTATATAGTCGATTCGTATAGTCTGTTATGCATGATGTGACGCCTTAAAATGTTCTGCATTAATCTCAATATAAAGGATGCATGCTTTAGATTTTAGTAAATAATGTAACAACTACTAGCTGTCCAATAAATAAATAAATAAATTGCTTCTGTCTTGTGTAAATGTGTATTGAAGTACAATTATTCGAATAATTATTTTTAATTTATTATTTATTTATTTATAGCTAGTATTACACCTTCTTGGTGAGCGAAGAGGTTTTTCTATTGTTTTACTATGTATGGATAAAATAACCTGCACCCTTTTAGAGAGTCGGCTAACACTTTCAACAGCAAAATAGGGTTTTTTATGAGTAATAATAATGAGAATAATATTTTCGGTTATATGAGACACAACGCCATCTAGTTTCAAACAAAACATTGACAATATGTTAGTACTTAACCTCGAAACATTCAAAATACAATACCTTTTTTCCTAGACTTCTTTCGCAAGTAATTTTGTTATGAGGATGGTCAAGAATAAATTCTCAAGTGTTTTAGACATTTTTGATATTTAAACGCTACCATTTCAGTTGAAATAAAATTATGTATGGGGACCTGCCATTGTTCTTTTATTTTTTAGATGATCTGGGGCCATAACCTAATAAAACACGCTTCGGGGTTTTCAATAGAGAGAGTTTTATTAACAAGCTTCCCTACCAATTGCCACTAGATGGCGCTAGCATACACTGTTCTACTATTTATGTTACCATATCAACAATCCAAACATAAAATCATAGTTGTATACAACGTTAGTTATTCTTTAGAGACAGAGTGAACGTCACTGTCTATGATAGTGTTGTGTTACAGACACTGGCGCCTTCCTCTTACAATTTATGTGACATTATACATTCAGTCAAAAAAGTTTCGGGAATGGATGATTTGTTTATGGTTCAAAAGTCAAATTTTAGTTTTTTTGTTGTTGTTAGATTGGCACGAATTTTTTTTCGATTTTGGCGCGAAGTTTAAGTTGCATCTGTTATTTATAATAAATACAGTGCTGTTTTTATCAATCATATCTAGTGTGTATTGCGAATTTCATAATGGACAAAAACATCGAACAAAGAGTTTGTCTTAAATTTTGCATCGCCAATAGAATTTCGTGTTCATAGTCACTGAAAATGTTACAGAAGGCTTACGGTGAATCGACTTTATCAAAAACACGTACTTATGAGTGGTACAAAGAGTTCAAAAGCGGTCGAGATGTGATGGAAGATTTGCCTCGCTCTGGTAGGCCATCAACGTCTGCAACTAAGGTTAACATCGCAAAAGTGAAGGAAATAGTGACTGAAAATCCCCATTCAACTTTGAGAGAGATAGCCGCCGAACTTTCTGTATCTCACGAGTCGATCCGTACCAGTTTTAACAAATCATTTGGGTATGAAACATGTTACCGCTCGGCTAGTCCGCCTGTGTCACATTAGTGCATAAAGTATAAAATAAAAAAAAAATAAAAAAAAAGTCCTAAAAGACCTGAATTTTCTCCAAAAACTCAATCGCATGAGAGTCGCTGAGGACATGCTAGAACAAGTGAATTCCGATCCAACATTCATGAAATGCATTGTTACCGGTGACGAGACGTGGGTTTATGAGTTTGACATGCAAACTTGTCAACAAACTTAGGAGTGGCTTTCCAACTGAACCGAAACGGAAAAAACCGTGCCAAAGTCGATCAAAATTCAAAGTTATGTTGACTGTTTTCTTTGACTATTGCGGTGTTGTGCACTCGGAATTCTTGCCAGAAGGTCAAACGGTAAATAAAGAATATTATTTGAGTGTTATGCGGCATTTAAGAGAGCAAATTTGATGAAAAAGGCTGTAGCCGCTTAACGTCTACTCACCGGCTTACCCAGCGGAGAAATGCACGAGATTACCTCAAGGCGCCTTGTCGAAAAACAGAAGGGTGTAGGTGGGCAACCTAAGGGACTCTTCAGAGAAAGACAACTTACACCTCAGTCATACATACATGTATATTTCAATTAAATACAGAGTTACAATTCAATAAATATAAAATAGTGGGCATATAAAAAAGATCCCGCAGCGGCGCGCGTCAAGGCCGAGCTGATGCTGCTAGGAGCCTCCTCGTCAGTAATGCCGAGCCTGCAGGCCACTTACACAACAGCCCGAGTCGGCTATTTATATTAGGTATATTGGAAGGTTAAATATTTATATTAATTACATTAACAAGAATTACGTAACCCTTGAATGAGGCTGACCGCTTGCTTGGTGAGCCGCGTGACTGCCAGTTTACCAGAGGGTACTGAGTAGCTCGATTACGCACAAGAAGGCCACAAACAACAGAGCACGCCGTCTGAGAGGTTTACGAATACTGGAGCCCTACGAATGGATTAGCACTCATATAATCGTTCAGGTTCCAGAAACAAATGACTACAAGAAAATTAAGATTAACTTACCACTGACGTGGGTACTTAGAACAAAGTATTTACTAAAATGAAATACCAGACAAACAAAATACTAATTAAGATCGGAAGACTAGAATCACCAGAATGTCCCCTGCGGCTGAAAGCCGGACTTATGCTCGGTTTGTGAAATTTCTAGAAAGAATCCCTTCTTTATCATTTTAAATTGTCATTCAAATTATCATCGAGGTTAACACGACTCAATTCAACAGTAACCCACTTCCTACCATAACAGGACACTTTTAACACCAATACAATTTGTCAGGATAGATTATTACTACGACTTACCAAAAAAAACACGCCATCTAGTGGTCCGATGGCGGACGAAGAGACATCAATACTATAGTTACAATCTACTTCGGATAAATCAATAAATGCGACGCGGGGCAACAGGTGTCACTGTTTACAACTCCGTACGCAATACAAATATAATGGAAAAATAACTGTTACGAGGCCAGATTTGTGGAATGAAAATTCTTGGATTTTGCACCACGATAATGCGCCTTCCCACAAGGCCATCATTGTGAACGAATTTTTGACCAAACACTTAACAAATACCATTGAGCAACCACTGTATTCACCATGCTCCAGTCGACTTCTTTATTTTTCCTAAACTCAAATTACCACTTCGTGGCACCCGTTTTCAATCGGTAGAAGACATAAAGGAGAATTTGCGGCGAGAACTGAACTCAATTCCGGAAACAGTGTTTAAAAAATGTTGTGATGATTGGATTGTTCGTTGGCGTAAGTGTATCGTTTTTGAAGGAGCATACTTTGAAGATGATAAAATAAATTAGAATGAATAACAAACAGTTTGTGTATCATAGATCTTTTCCTGGTACTTTCTAGACAGAGTAGTATGCTTTATCGTGGACAAGATGAGTAGCTGTTAAAAACTTAATCAATACAGTTTACAATGATGTAAATGGTTATTATTCAAAACTATACGTGTGGAAGTATGTGTGTGTCTGCGTGTGTGCGCGCGTGTGTGTGTGTGTGTGTGTGCGCGTGTGTGTGCGCGCGTGTATGTGTGTGTGTGTGGGTACGTGCGTGCTTGCGCATGTGTATGTGTGTGTGTGTGTGTGCTGAGCTGTGGTTAGGGATAAGTTACGAAGGTTTTTTTGAAAACAGCTGCTCAGT